CTGCCTATGCAGGGGGTCGGACTCGATGATCTATTGAGGTCCCTTCCGACCCTAGCATCTATGAATCTATGAATCTATGGAATGTCAACATTGAGGTTTGTACACCGTTTCAGAAGAACAGGGTTGGGAACAAAAGTGATGGTGTTGCCTTGTATGTCAAAAACGCAGACACTTTCTCAGGAGTAAGACAGCAAAGCAAAATGCATTTGGGTGAAGATGAAAAGTGAAAGATGTGGCACCAATGTAATGGTGAGAATTTATTATAGGCCACCAAATCAGGAAGAGCAGGTAGATGTGCCATGTTCAAGCAGGTCACAAATCTGTCCAAAAGCTATGGGATGGTATTGATAGGAGACTTCCTTTTCCTGGACATCTGCTGGAAGAACAATGCAGCCAAGCAAAATATTGAGCTGGTTCCTACCTTGTGTGGAGGACAACTTTCTGTTCCAGAAGGTGGAGAATACAACTAGGGAATCATCTATTTTATGTCTTATCCTGACAAAAAGGGAAGAACTCTTAGAGGATGTAAAGGTGATGGGTAACTTGGGAGGAAGCAATCATGAGATCATAGAATTCCAGATACTGAGACCGGCAAAGCATGAGGTCAGCAAAATTAGGATTCTAGATTTCATACGACTTGAGTTAATAGGCATGGTGCCATGGGAAGACAGACTGAAGAACAAAGGCACCCAGGAGGACTGGGAACTTCTAAAGGGCAAAATATTGGACGCCCAAGAAGAAACTGTCCCAATACGATAGAAGCACAAGAAGAATGGCAAGAGAGCAATATGGTTGCGTGAGGAGCTTCTAAAATGCTTCAAATGCAAAAGGAAAACATACAAGCAATGGAATAATGGACAGATCACCAAGGAAGCATACCAGGAAATAGCAACAACTTGCAGGGACAAGAATCAGGAAGGCAAAGATAAAGAACATGCTGTACCTGTTGAAGTAGGTTAAGGACAACAAGAAGAGGTTCTACTAGTATGTTGGACAGAAAAGAAGGACCAACGAAGCTGTGGGTCCTCTGTTATCAAGCCAAGGGGAACTCCTAACCAAAGATGCAAAAAAGGCAGAGCTACTCAACAGCTAGTTTGTTCCAGTGTTCACAAAAAAATTAAGCTGCAGCCAGACACCTAATAAGGATTATCTGGATAAGGAAAAGGGCAAGCTGAAGGAGGAGATAACAAGAGAGCCTGTCAGAGAGCTTTTGATAGGTCTGAATAAATTCAAGTCAGCAGGGCCAGATGAACTTCATCCCAGGATACTGAAGTAACTGGGAGAGGAGCCTTGGCAATGATCTTTATGAAGTCATGGGAGATGGGCCAAGTACTAGAGGACTAGAAAAGGGCCAACACAGTGCCCCTGTTTAAAAAAAAAAGACAAGAAGGAGGACCCAGAGAACTACAGACTTCTTAACCTACCTAAGTACCTGGGAAGTTACTGGAACATACCCTAAGGAGGCCATTTGCAAGCATCTGGAGGCAGAAAAGTTGTTCATAAACAGCTAGCATAGATTAATGAAAAACAAGTGTCAAACAAACTTTATCTCCTTCTTTGATAAAATAACTACTTGGGTGGATGAAGAACATGTTGTGAATATAGTGCATCTGGACTTCAGCTAGGTTTTTGACAAGGTCCCACATAATCCCTTAATAAACAAATCGGAGAAACATGGGCTTGATGAAATTACAACACGGTTGATAGAAAACTGGCTCAATACCCACAAGCAAAGGGTAACTATTAATGGGTCCATGTCAGAATAGCACGAGGTGTCAAGTGAAGTCCCGCAGGGGTCTGTCGTGGGCCTGCTATTCAACCTGTTTATTAATGAGTTGGATGCTAGCAGAGAAAGCTTCTTGAGCAAGTTTGCAGCTGACACAAAACTGGGACAGACTGTGAACACATTGAAGGATGCAAATGCAATTAGAAGGATCTCAACAGATTGGAAAGCTGGGCTAGAGCTAACAGGATGAAGTTCAATGCGTGTTACACCTTGGGAGGAATAATCAAAAAGACAACTATAAAATGGATAACATCTGGCTGGATGGCAGCTCTATGGAAAAGGACTTGAGAGTCTTGGTAGATCGCAGACTCAATATGAGACTGCAGTGTGATGCAGCCACACAAAAGGTGAATGTGGTTCTGGGATGCATCAATAGAAGTATTAGGTGCAAGACACAGGAAGTGATAGCGCCTGTCTATTCAGCACTGGTTAGGCTTCATCTGGAGTACTGTGTGCAGATCTGGCCTCCATTATTAAAAAGGATGTGGAGAACTTGGACAAGGTCCAGAGGCAGGCAACAAAGATGGTAAAAGGCTTGGAAAACAAGTTATGGGAGAAAAGGCTGAAGGAGCTAGGCATGTTCAGCTTGCAGAAAAGGCTCTTAAGAGGGGACATGATAGCAGTCTTCAAATACTTGAAGAGCTACCATAAAGAAGAGGGAAAGTATCTTTTTCCTCTTGCTGCAGAGAGAATGTGCACCAATGGCTTGAAGTTTTAGCAAAATAAGTTTAGATTGGAGATCCAGAAAAAAATCTTCACTGTGAAAATAGTGAGACAGTAGAACAGAAAGAAGCATTGGGTGTCAACTACAGCCAAGGTTGGGGACTTCAGCTGGGGTGTACTGATTCCCCTACTACCAGCAAAACCAGAGGTTCTTGGCTAAAGGGTCCTGCCCCTCTCTTCAGGGTCAGACCAATCACCATATTTGGGGTCAGGAAGGAATATATTCTCTATATTTTCACTTACCCCATGGTCAGATGGGTATGGACTGGGTGTTTTTGCTTCTTCTCTAGCAGGGGGTGTGGCCCTCTACCTGGGATATCTTGAACATATACTGACAACATCTCATAGAAACAGGATGTTGGCTGCTGGGGTTCCCCTGCTTTACCTGTAGCAGGTTAGGGTGTCAGGTCCATGTTGTGTCAGGGTTAAAGGTAGTCTCATTTAGAGTTTAGACTATGGATTGTATGGGATGGTTTGGATAGGAATGATCCTGCCTCAGGCAGGAGGTTGGACTTCTGGAGCTCCTTTCCAGCCCTATTTCTCTCTGATTCTATAATTATTAAAACTGTTTTTGTTACTCAAAAATGACTCTGTATGCAACAACTAGTAATTCTCAAACTCTTATGACTCAACCAAATAAAAAAATCAGTTACCAGACACTAAAAGTTATTTTCCCATATTTTTTAATTCCTGGCCATTTCTGTACTAGATATATAAATAAAAAGCAGTTATTATGTAAAAGAAAAAAGAGCATTTTCCAGTGTACAATTCTTGTTCAAATTTGTTTTGTATACAACCCAAACTTTTGCATGAATGGTGAAAGTTTCAGAATATTATTACCAAACTCAAATTCACTGATGAGCACTGTTCCATGCAATTAGCCACCTAATTGACCAAAAATTCCCATAACCAAATCCAATAGACTGTAAACATTTCTTATCCTTCTTCACAGAAGAAACTGAAGGAATTAGTGGTCTGAGACAAATGAAAGTATAACAAACCCTGTAATGATGTTCATCTACATTATCTTTAATGAAATTCCAAGCAAGCTACCTCAAAAAATTCCTTAAGACATCTGAGCAGTAGCTGGCTAATTATCCATGAAACTGGCTGCTATGCTTCATGGCTGGTGAACCACGTATGTCTATCCTGTAGTCTCCAGACTGCAACTCAGGCAGACACATAGGTGCACACAAGCAAGCACTTGACAGAGCAGTATAGCTGTAGCAGTTTAAAGATTAGTGCAAGCTAAGTGCCCAAGTATCTGAACAGCTACTTGGGCAAGGCTGCAGCCTGTGCCAAGCTCCATCTTGTCACAGTTACACTGTTATTGATAGCTTTAACTCACAGCAGCCCATATATTCCTACAAAAGCTATAGTCATGCATATAGATATACTCTTGGTGAAGAATCCCTGGGCTTCAAAATATTGAAGATCATTAAGGCTTTCCTCAAAGCAAGCCAGCTATGCCAGAACGTAACAGTCTAACCGTTCCTGAAGATATATCTATACATAACATCAATAACTGGCCAGTGTCTAATCTAGGTTTTCACAGCAAATTTAGTAAAGATGCAGTGGCATTCAAGAGACAACCAGAAGCAGAGATCATAGGACTCTAGCTATTAAATAATAGCAATAATAATGAGGATTATCTTACCTGCTGCTAGAAATGTATATCCTTTGGCTGAAACAAAAATGGCCCTTGGGGAAATAGTAACTATCTCACTGTCTTTTCCTAGAGAAAAAGATAGGAAAAACCATATACTATATCACAGAAACAACAAAATGTAAAATCCTTTGTTGTAAAATAGATAAGATTGCTAAACATGAAATACTTGGACAGAACTATAAAAAAGTAAATCACAAATTGAACAACTCAGCCTTCTGTTCAATGGCTCACATGTTATCACCACCACAACTACTGTAGATAACGAATCATATTCACCAACCTTAACTTTAGCCGATAGAGATGCCAGTCCTTCCTCACCTCTTTTACCAAACCAGTTCTTCCAAAAACACTAGAATACCTCACCGAACATCCACTATTAGTAATGTTACTTTATGTCAGTTAGTGAGTAAAGAGGCATATGTAGAAGGGAATGCTAAGGTTAAGTGATTTTTTAAATTATATTTTATTTTTGTGTTAAACACAGGAGTAAATTTTGAGAACATGCAGCTCCTTTGAACATCCAAATATTAGTGCCTGAAGTCCAAAAGGTAAAGGAAGTGCAACAAATAACTAATGAAATAATGAAATGTTACTGAATGCATAATTGGAATCCTAATTTTGGTATAAAAAAGGTTGCTTGAAGTGTAGCATATTTTCTTACTACTGATTGTTACTAACTGAAAATACAACATCTGGAGAAGTTTGCAAAAGAGAACTAGAAAATATGGTTTTGAAAAGGGCCCATGATTCATGAATCATTTGGCCAGCTTGATGTTAGACTTGCCTAGTTGTAAAGAAATAAACTTCCAAAACAGTTTGAACTGGAGTAAACTGCTCCTGGGCACAGTATCTACACATGTTCCTGGAACAGCAGCAATTTGAGCCAGGGTGGAGCAGGCTCCCGGTGGCTCACTGGGCAGACCGGGCACAATTTATGTCCACAGTCAAGATCTATGCATGCATTTCAGTGCAGTAAATCACTCCATCATAAGATAGTGCTCTCCCACACAATACTATTTGACAGCAGAGTTAATTAGTTTACTGCAGCTTAGTACCAGCTCATGTGTAGACAGTGACACTTTACTGCAGAGCTAATTAATCTACTCTGCAGTAAGGCAAGCATGTAGACACACGCATCATGTAGCACATGATCCACCTACATCCACTTTTTTTACACTATGAAATAGTTAAGAACAAGACAGAATAAAAACAAATTGCCCTGAAAGTTCTCTCTTCTGACAAATAGAGACTTATATTAAGATTTTTATTTGAAAATCTGTTCTTTCTTTATATTTTCACTTAGTGTATAGTTCAATAGAAGGAAGTAAGTGAGTTTCTCCATCTCGGGAAAGGTGGCCCCATTATGCAAAGGTCCACTCCATTTAAGAGCAACAAAACAGCAGGAGCCCAACAACGTGGTCCTAAGCAGCTACTTGTAGGGTCCAGCCCTCTGCCTATCACTTGGGCCATGCTTTTGTAGGACATGCTAGAATTGTGTGTGCTATCTTTGCTTGAACTTAGCTTCCTTATCAAATAAAACTTCTGTCTGACTACTGTTCAAAGGAAAAGTTGGTCCTTGGCTGCTAGTCTGACCTGTATGATCTAGCAAAGACACCCCCTTGAGAAGTTTTCTGAAATGAAAACACAAAGAATACTTCCTAAGTTTTCTATTACAGTAAGGCAGGGTAACTTCATTTGGTTACAACTATGCAAGTTTGCAACTGGGGAAAAAGACCACAAGTTAGGGACAAGAAAACACCTTAGTAGTACAGAACATTAATTTCATGAGCTTGCTTACATAGATCAATAAAGAGGCAACAACCCCCTTGGAAGGAGCAACCAGAAGAAAGCAGATTAGTTTAAAAGACAACATTATAAACAATGCAGTGAGAATCTACTCTTTCAGGATGTCTGAGACATGGGTCTGTTTCAAAATAAAAACATTTCATTTAGTAAAATGTTTTGATAAATATGTCAGCATTTTATGAAGCTACATAAATAAAAACATAGCTGATGTACCTTTTATGTACTGCTTCTTAATAATTTGAATGGGATGCTTGGAGATGCCTTGAATATTCTGTAAATTAAGGGTAAATATTTATAGCAACTAAAAATGCTTTTTTAAAGTTTAATTTAGGAAAACAAAAATATATTTGTTATAAGCCATTAGCATATGTGTTTGTCACATATTCAGTAATACTAGCAACATCACCTGTTAATCTGAGCATTGAGTGCTGCTACTATCCTGTGACTGCACAAGCCATTGGGAGTTCCTTGCCCTTCTTTACCATGAAATCTCCAATCAATCAGACTGGATTGCTGATTGAGTCATGCTATTTGTAAAGATGGGACTCAAGTAAAAACCTCAGAAGTCTCAAGAAATTGTAAAACAGCTGTCTGAAGTTTGGGGAGTATGACTGAATGATATAGGGGAAAAAAAGATTATCCTTGAACATAATTTGTGGATGCATCAAAACCATAATCAGTAAGCAATTTTTTGTTTTAACCTGCTTTATTTCAAATATAATTTGCAGAAGCAGTAGCACCAAACAAGCTGATTTCAATTAGACAGCGTGTGCAATTCATATTCCTTTGGCTGGGATGATCTAGTTGGAGCTGGTCCTGCTCTGAGGGGCTTGAACTAGATAACCTCCTGAGGTCCCTTCCAACCCTAATTTTCTAAGAGTCTATGATTCCTACACTAAGCTAGAGGCATAGCTTCTTCTGCAGCTTCCATTAGTTTGTCCCAGATTCTACAGCTGCAATTTTTAATGTATAAAAAAAATATATTAAGGGTTGTTCAGTAGGTTTATGAAATCCACCAAGATAAAAAGTTGAGAGGTATCTGGTCTTATCAGTGGAGAACACAATGTAAGCCTAGATATAACCAGCAGCTAATAGACTAGCTTTTATTTCTGGAGATATAGGCTCATAGGAATGATTGCATCCAGTAACATATCTGTCAGCAAAGTGCAAAATGTGCCACCCATGATAACTTCTTGCTATTTTGTGACATTACACACTATCATCTAGACAGGAAGCATACACTAACTTGTAATTTGTAACATCTAGCATGTGGTAACATGTGTCAACTTCAGTTGTTATAATTTCAGATAACTTATCTGCAAGTAGTTCAGTAGCGAGAAGAACATACCAAAATTACGTAATGTTTGTGGATTTGAGAATACCAGGAATGTGCATTTTTAAAAAGAGAAATGTCACTATGCAGTTTAAAATTCACAACCAGGCAAACTAACGAGTAAATTAAATTAAAATCATAATAATGGAAACAGACAAAAAGGAAAACTAATCCTGGTCCTCAATATCAGTGCTAACATGATGATTTCAGAGGTTTGCGTACCGCAAAAAAGGTGACTGAACAGCCTCTAAATTTACATATTCAGTACCATACTGCAAGCATGTTATGTTATACTGGGTGCATCAACACGTGAACTTTAATGTGCATTAACCTATTTTAATGTGCATTAAAGCATCACTACAAAAACCATAGGCATCTTTACACATGCTCCAAGGGTAGGGAGAGGCCTTTAATTAAAGCTGCTCTGAGAGCCATTTTAATTAAAGCGCCCGCAGTGTCTTGTGCATTCAGCATCCTATACTTCAAAATGGCAACGGGGGTTCTTTAACTAAAGCTCATTTGACACCCCCACCACTAATTTGAAGCATGGGGACACCAAATACACAAGACACTGAGGCTGCTGGAGTGTGCTAATTAGCATGCTCCAGCAGACTCAATTAATTCACTGTAATTACAGCATGTCAGAGCAGCATCACTGCATGTCTACAGGGACCCCATGCTATTTAGCTAATGCATATTTCAATAGGCTAACGCACATTAACTAAAGAGCATGGTTTTTAAGTGATGCTTAATGTGCATTTTCCTAGTACCTCAGGACATTTTTAGTCTATTTAATGTGCATTAAAGTATCACTAAAAAAAAAATCATAGGCATCTATAAAAATGCTCTGAGGGTGACAGGGAGTGGCACTTTAAATTAGAGTGGCTCTAAGTGCCACTTTAATTAAAACACTATAGTGTCTTGTGTATCAGCATCTCTGTGCTTCAAAATCATGGTGGCGGTGCTTGAACTAAAACTCTTCAAACAAGCTTCAGTTCAAGCACCCCCCACCGCCATTTTGAAGCATGGGGACACTGATACCTAAGACACAGGAGACTGCTGGAGCATGGCGATTGATTAATCAAGTCTGCTCTGATGCACTGTAATTACAGAGCATTGGAGCAGTCTCCACACTCATGTACAGGAACTCTCATAATGGGGGTAATTGATTTAATGTGCATTAACTAAAGCACATTAATGCACGTGTAGATGCATCCTCTGAGATGCAATTATTATGCCCTAATGTGGGATAAGGTTATCTACAAAAGCAGGGCTTGAACTCACATGTCTGGGCTGTAGTAGCAAGATGCCCCTGCTACTACAGCCTATACAACTTGTGTATCAGTGTAAAATTGCACTACAGTAAGAAATGACATGCAGTTATCACCCAGTTATACTGGTTTAATACTTTCGCAGGCATGTACGACTGGTGCCTCCTGTGACTGGTGGGGCACCATGGCAGTGAGTGGCAAGTGACGACCACCCACAGCCGCTGCCTGCCCTGTCAGTGGCAGGGAGGGGGGTGGTGAGCAGGGGGCCACCACCCGCCACAAAAGCCAGTGACAGCACATCTCAGGGGGGGCATGTGTCCCCCTGTGCCCCCCCGCCCCCCCACGTCACCTATGTTCACAGGAGCCATTCATAAACTGCTTTGCTGGAAGTCAGTGAGAAGTCAAGTATGCCAGCCTCTCTTGTAGCCCTGCTTTCCCAACAATTTATTCGACAGAAATCAGAAATTTCTTTGTGGGAGGCAGGGGGCAGAAAATAGAGGTGAAGCAGGGAACGATAGCAAGGTGGAAACTGGCAAACCCCAACTGCCATCTGTCTGAGGCCAACCAGTTCAGCATGGGTAGATCCATTGCTGGATCTACTATCCAGAAGTATACACAGCCATCATGAAAGTCTTCACCCCCCTTTTCCTCAGGGTCTCCAACTCCTAGGAGATCATTACTGAATTCACCCATATGGGATTCCAAGGTAGCACCAGAGGAATCAAAAGGCCATCCGGATCTTTTGCCCTCTCCACTACAGCTCAGGCCATGGACATATGTACATTTTGAGCTGTTACATTCTAACCGTTATGTGTGCACAAACCAGAAAAATACAGCAATATAGCAAAACCACTTCAGCCTCTTCTGTGGTTACCTTCAGCCAGAATTTGGCCACCTTTAGCATACTGATCTCCAAAGTGTGCACACTAACCAGAGAAAAACTAAATTCACATTCATGTCTGAAGACTAAGAACTTCAAAACGGACATAGAAAGATTCAGCTAAGTCAAAAAAAGTAAAGGGAGGGCCTAGAAATGACTGAGGAGATGGCTTCCCAAGCAGAATCAAGGCAGAGCTTAATTATTTCTGTGAGCATTTAGTGCTGCTGAATCCCAGCATTGGCCTAGAGCCCTAAAGAAAATGCTCTTTAAAAACTAAAAGCATTGACTAAAACCACTCACTGAAATGAGCATGTCTAGTTCCGCTAGACTTTCAGTGTAGAGATGACATAGGAAGAAAAAAATAACTTAAAAATAGCAAAGAGGTTAGACTGAGCAGATGCAAGGTGGCAGCTGGCTGTTTACTTCATCTGTTGGCTAAGCCAGGTTCCACTACTCTGCACAGACACCGATATGGTGGTCGATCCTGTCACTTCACGGGCTGTTGCTATTGTTAGGCATGTACCCAAACCTCAGAGTGTAAAGCAAAGGAACACAAAAGTGAGTAAGTAATTAATATGCTTCTATTGAAGTTGTCATGCATCTCCTTTGATTTTTTGTATTTCTCTTTCTTTTTTCTTCTTTTTCTCTCCCTTTTTTAGAGGTAAATTTTTCTCCCTCTCTTTCTTGAAGAAAGGTAAGAACAATTGTCTCTTCTCTCCTAAAAAACACATTTGCTCAAAATGGGGACACATCACTAGTCATGTTGTGTGCCAAGATGCACTCACACAATTCAGCTAAGGAGGAGAGGAGAACTAAAAGCTTGGGTCTCTGAGATAATTCAGGACTAAGGACAATGGCTGCTGCTGAAGTAGAAAGGAAAACTGTCCCTTGCCTGCAGCAGTACATTTGCCATAGGAAAATAATACAAATGAGGGCTTTGCCATTACTGCCTCCACCTTAAGCTGGATAAGCATCTCCCACTGCTCTAAAAAGATTGTACTACAGAAGGATGAAAAAATAAATACTATGAGACTATTTGGAAAATCCAGTTCTTTGTGTATTGGCCACAGTGACTCCTTCTGCACAGAGTAAGAGATAGTTATTAGGTATTCACATTTCTACAGGTCTTTGTGAAACAACTTGCATAAAGATGCAAGTTCTTTCCAAAGTCATCTCTGTAAGATTCAGCATCCAGGGAAAGTATGGCAGCGATCAAAGTCACCATAGTAGCATCAGAGTTTGGACCTAGTGCGCATCTGCAGTCCTAGGTAGATTATTGGACTTGTATGCAGTTGCCACCTAGTGGCAATTAAAAAATGCATGCATTTTCACTGATGACAAAGCCACAAAATTGTACAGACTGCTAGTGCAAGACCTGCTAGATAGTGTTTTTCAAAATGGAAAAAAGTTACTCACAGGTAACCCAGTTGCTCATAATCCTCCTCCCCATCTCACCTTGAAGGATAGGAACTGTTAGGGTTATGGGAAGGAGGAACTGATTGAACTGCCAGTAGTACTACAGTGCAGCTCATTGCCTTCCCTTCAGTTTAAGAACTTCTGCACGGGTTGGCAACCTATGGTCCACAGGCCAGATTTGGCCCAAGGAGCCATTTTCTTGAGCCTGCAGAGCCAGGAGGCTTCAGCAGCAGGAAACTTCTGCGGGAAGCTCTGACTTGGGAGTGAAGAAAAGTGGCAGTGGTACCACAGCAGGAGTGGTGACAACAGCAGTGCATGCACAGGCCAGATCAGAAGCTGTCCATGCTGTACTAAGCTCAGTTAAAGCGCTG